GGATGAAAGGAAGATAGTTAGCAGGAAAAAGAAATCTCAAAGGTATTTCTAAAAAGGTTGAGGGGTCATTAAGGCACTGGAGAAATGTAAGGTTATTTCCTTGGCAGGCCATCTAAGTATTTTTATTCATTTCTTTAAGTGGCTGCTCTGAACAGGGCACAGCTTTCCCCAGTCTTCAGCCCACTCCACAAGAAGAGAGATGCTGTATTTTGGGGCTGAAATGAAACCTCACCCTGTGACCAACACTGAAACCTCAGCAGCACCTGGTCTTTAGCAGAAGGTCGGATCACGTCCACATCTCTGCCTCGCTTTGTCTGTTCCATACCTGCCTCCCGCCTTGCTTTCCATAAAACCACCCTGATACTTGGGATGCAGCTGAAAAGAGAGCGGCGATTCTGCAGGCTGCCTGCTTTCCTGCTGACTCAGCCAACTGGGTGCTCAGCTAATTTCCGCAGTGCTACAGAAGCTTCCTCACAGTGGAGGAGAGGAAATATTTTTAATTGATTAGAGCCTCCCAGAAAGCCAGAGCTAATTTGTCAGTTCTCAGATGAGCTGTTCTAAAAATCGTGTTCTCTGGTTGTAGAGATAAATGGGAGTTAGGCTGGGATGGCTGTCCCTCACTCCTATTCAGGTAGCATCAGTCACACACAGACAAACTTTTTGGGGAAGAACAACTCTCTCCTCTGCATGAGTGTGCTGCAGTTGTGAGTGAAGCAAAATGCCACTGATTTAAAAGGAAAGCAAAGGTGAAAGGGTGAGTGACCTCCGGCTCGGGAAATCTGGAGTCCAGTTTCAAGACATGAGACAAAGTTGAAAGACTGAAACAGAATGACTCCAAAGGGGAAAGAAATGAATATCGTGAGAGCAAATTATACTCTTGCTTACCACATGGTATATTCTATTTTGGTGAAGAATAACTTAATTTGATATTATGGTTATGGCTTAACTTTAGAGATACACTAACACGTAAGGACTGACCAAAAGGAACTATGGACCTGTAGGGGAAAGATGGGTTGGTACAGACTGCAAGGGAAACCTGATGGCAGTGATGCTTGGCTATACAAAACTAGGAACGAGAACTAGACCCCACAGTACAATTACAAGATGTAAAGAATAGAGACAAAACTTTAAAATCTTAAAAGGATGTGACGTTGAAGGCTACAAAGGTGTAAAAACTGAAGAAATACATAAAAATGAAAGTTCTGGATAGACACTTCATTTAAACAAAATCTGAATGACAGACTGATTCAGTTTCTTTTAGGTGATAAAGGTAAGGTGGGAAAGCAGGTGAACTAGAAGAACACATGAAAATTACTTTATATATTTGCTAAAGAACCTCAAAATATAGACCAAACATCTTTTCTTCAAGTGCATGTGCTCTCAGATATTTAATTTTGCTCTAATTAATATTTTCCAATATGCAGCAGGTTGCCAAATGATCAGAATAGGCATCAACAGTGTTTATAGAAGGAATCTAAAGCCTTCAGAAAATACTGAGAACTCTGTATAATACAAACCAAACAGTGGTTTTATCACAAATGCATATTAATAATAGCAACAACAACAACAACAATAATAAAATATGTTTATCCAGAATCCACTTTCAATATATTTTTCTTATTTTAAAAATTATTTTACCCTTCCCAACATCCATGTACAACAGCTATGTGCACAAGGGAGTGCAGAACCTCTGAGAACAGATAAGGAAAAGGGATTGTGGAAATCTTTCTGCAGATTTTAGTACTCTTTGGATTAGGCTCTTTAACAGTAACTATGTTACGTGACATGGGCATTTGGCTTTGGAACTCCAGGCTGGGTCAAGTAATTACATCTGGGAAATACAGTTTCTGTTTCTTCCCAGGTCTTTTGTGGTCACATTTTTGGAAGATCAATTTTGACAGTACTCATTTAAATGTTTCCTTACTTTCTAGTAAAAGAGGGATGAAAATGGCCCACAAAAATCTCAGGAGGAATGTATGAATTCAATCATAGTGAGAAATGTGAATTAGACCTTTCTGCTGCGTTCTTACAGGAAGGTAATCTTGCCAACACTCAGGAATACATTTTATGTCTTTCTCAGTACATTCCACAGTCTTGTACTTTATCTCTAGATTTTTTAAGATGATAGAGCCATAAGGAGTAAGACTATACTTAGAAAAAAAATCTAAGATTTTCTATTCCCATAACCCTATGACCCATGATTTTGAGAACAGCACCAAATATCACAAATCTTGTGGTGAAGTAGAAGAGATGCCAACACCCAGTGCGGCAGATAGCACCATCCTGTGAGGCCGTATGTTACATTCCACGTACTCACTACCTTTCTTTTGCTAGAAATAGCCATGTGGAGAACATATTTAACCGTCATTTCCCAACAATACTGACTGGCAGCAGCTACCTTATGACAAGCAGGTTTTTTTCCCACACTGCTTGATTCAAGGGATTTCTCAAACTATTTAATCTATGAATTAGTTTCATAGGGTCTGGAAAATAGGTGTCAGAAATAGCAACAGTTTGAGAGATTCTACAGCAGGACAGGAAAATAGGGGTAATTTACACTAGTGGCTGAAGCAAATGGAATAAGAATCCATATGTACAAAATACGCTAGCAACATATTAGTTATATTTGACATTAGTCCCCTGTGCACATGTACTCATTACTTTCTTACAGATAAAAATTTTCCTCATCATAAATACTGGCCTTTTAGTAATACAACATGGCATAGTCGACTCTTTCATCCTTTATCCAGCAGTACATTTTCATATGATTTATATGCACACACTTCTTGCAATGACAACTGGCATCAAGATAAAGGCAGATAGAAAAATCTACAAAGCAGGACAAGAACCACCTCTTTGCTTGATATTTCATTAATAAGCAATGCATAGCTGCATTACTGATGTCTCAAAATTATACAGTCGCCAAACACAACTGAGTGTGGATTGAAAAAGCCTTTACCTTGTGCTGAAACAGCAAACTGGACCTTCTCCTCCTATTTAAAAAGAATGTCTATTGCACATATTGCCTCAAGACTCAACAGATTCAACAGAGAGAATGACAAAAGATGTCCCTCCAACTTATCTTTCAGATTAGTACTTCACATATTAGGTTTGGATCTCTGAGAGAACTTCAAGCTCCATTTTACATTCCATAAATCCATTTAATGTATATTCCAATATCCCCTAAATAATACAATTTTATTGTGCTGGGGGACTGAATGTAACCCTGGCATTATAACTACTACAAACAGACTAAGCTCAGCAAAGAAGCAAACAAAAGGAGCCTGTCAAGATGGACCTTGTATAGCAAATAAGAAGTCTGGACTGGACTGGTCTGGGCTGGGAGGGAGGCAGGAAGAACAGGGCATTGCCCATGCCCAGCGTGCCCAAAGCTTTAACTAACTGAAGGAGAAGTTATAAAAAGTTTCAAATTCTTTCTTCACCGTGCAATCACAGTTACCTAAATCCAAAAATGTGCTGTTAGTAAGGTGTACAACCCCTGTAAGGCTTGTCAGTCACCTCAAAGCTTCTCTAAACTGGAACACCAAACTTGGGAAACAAAGTTAGACCATCTCTAGTACCGCTATACTGACCCATCTTTAGGTCACTGGCTGGGAAAGTCCAATTTATAGAATGACAAGTACTTTGAATTCACATCTCTCATTCTTTTTAAAAACTTTTCCAGATAATACCAATGTTAATTCCTATAAAAATTACTACTGTGGTATTAAAATTCTGTTTTCACAATTCAGTTCTTTTTCAATAGTGTACTCATGGTAATCAAACAGGAATCAGCTACTGTCTCTTCTAATGCAATACCCTTCAATTAGAGACCAACAAGGCACATCAACCCTTTCACAAATGTGTCAAAAAGAAGGTAAATATTTTTGCTCCCATAACTCCTTCCAGGAAGCTGTTTCAGACCCTCACTCTCCACACCGTCAAGGTGAACAATTCACTCCTTTTCACTTTGTTTCATAACAGACAGGCTCTTCTATTTATTCGATTCTATTAACAGACCTGTGGGGTAAATTTTCCCAGTTTCTGTTCCTGTTAGTGAACATGTGTTAAGAATTTCACTCAGTCTTCCAGATAAGGCCTTACAGGTGTCTCGTATGTGACAACTCCTCATCGCTACAGGCAATGCCAGAGGATGCATCTTAGGAGTGTATTTGCCTTTTTGATAGATGCATTCGACAGATGATTTGTAATCATCCTGTGATCACCTAGTAAAGCCCCATTTTGACACCCTCCTTCAGCAATTATAACTACTGGTTATCGATGACACTCTGCAGTAGCACATTTCATCCCATTTTTGTTTTTCCGGTCTTCATATTCCTTAGTTTTTTCCTGTATGATGTTGTGAGCCTGCTCCATCACGGTAATGACCGGCCACCTTCATGTTACTGGTGTGGTTCTATGTTTGTGGTTACTGTCATTATTGACAGCGTTTAAAAATGAATCTGTAAGAAATTCTGTAAATCTCTAATTCCAGTTTCTCGCCTTTGCTGCTGTATTTCCATCCTCTTCCAGAAAACTGATGTAAAGCAGCTACTTACAACTTCATGAACAATAGTGTATCTTGCATTTGTCAAAGTAATTTATATGGGGTAGGGCAAAAGGTGCCTATTTTTATCAGACTGCCACAGACCCCTGGTGAATGATAAGGGTCAAGCGGAAAGATTAAGTATCTTCAGCTGCTTATAAAGGGTTCGACTCAAATATAAATGCTTTCATATTAGAAACAAATCCATATCAAACAAATAACTCCTGGCAATTATGCAACCATTTGCTAAATAAATCCATATCCATCCAGCTATACTGGCAACAGGCAAATTTTAGGCAGTTATTTAAATTCTTTCCATCAAAATACTAATTTTAAATATTTATTATTGCCTTGAAAGTTTTATAGTTTATTCTACAACAATATACCAACACACACATTAAAAAATATCACAAGGAGAGGACTCCTATCAGACTTTTAATATCCTCCTACTAACCTTAGGTGGTTTAAAAGGATAGTCCGGTGAAAAGGTAATGTCAAGGAAGAAAACTCCACCTTCATATACAGACCCTGGAGGCCCCAGTATAGTTGACCTCCATTCATAAATGTTGTCTCCTTTGGGTCCAGCACTAAAATAGAAAAAAAACAAACCAAAACATAATAACCATAGACAATCAAGAAAATAGTGCATCAGTTATACTCTACTAGTAGTACTGCTGGTTTTGCAATAACACTGCAAGTTAAAGTTGTGTATCACATTCATTAAGTTAGTCCTGGATAAAACATGTAACTGGTGAACTAAGCTCTGTCAGTGAAGTGATACATTCAGCCAGGAAGAAGTATTAAAATCACATTATAAATTATTCAAATAAGCACAGAAAAATTCTCAAATATTGTAGTGGGCAGATGTGAAGTATTTACAGTGCAAGGATACAGAGACTTTGCTGAGATGTCTTGTCACTGTCTTGCCTCACAAGCCAGCCTATTTTCACCTACCTCCTCATCCACCTACCTCATCAGTCAGCAGCAGTGTAATTACACACATTATTATACAGTACAGCCTGTACTAAAGACTGAGCAGGGTACAAACGACCTTGCAGCTGCACTTTCTAAGTTGCTAAACTAAGTTCTCCAGTCACTAGCACAGAAGGGTGCTTTTCTCCGCAATCATTACCCTATCTTAAAATTATAAACTGTTGCATTATGCTAATTCAAAGTCCTCATTTAAAAACATAGTCCTGAAACAATATTTGCAATGTACAAAACATAATCCTGTATGTGAAATGAGAAAAATCTCTCACCCACATGGTCAATTCCTAACAAAGTCAAAATAAAAACTAATAGAAGTTCTTGGACATGACTCTTCCAAAAGCCAACACAGCCTCCTTCCATACAACATAGTGCTTGTCCATAGAAATACCTAATGGACTCAGAGTGGCCTCTTAAGGAACACGAAGACTTCTTTTCAGTTCACAGTCTGCTAATACCAGTAATTGATACAGGACCTGAATTTTAATTAGGATCAATTGAGATGGTGACTTCTAGATATTCAATTCATATTTTTCAGAGGAAGGCAGTGCTGGTAGATATTTCAAGTAAGTGATGTGGTACTGTCTTAAGGTATTTCTTCTTGTTGTGTTTGCAGTAAAGATTTCCACAGCATGCAGGGGTTTGTGAAATAACCCTGTGTGTAGAAGAGATGAAAGCTCTTGGCTATGCTCCATGCCTCACAATGTACCCAAGGCATACAATTATTATACAACATCATGTCATGTTCACTGCTCAACTATTCATTTTGTTCACTGAAAGTTAATAAAACCCCCTTTCACCTGAAATTCCTTGGGCTCCCTTCATTAAAACTTCTGACTGCATGATTCCCTGCATACAACTGCGTGACTTAGTACTGCGCAGTCTACTTCATTAGTCATGGTACCTACATCAATTTTCTATAATAGCTGTTAATGCTTCTTGGCTTTCTGAACTACGTGCTTTCTCAACAAAAACGGGTTACAGAGACTTTAACATTACGGAACATTCATTTTCTATCAGCCACAGTAACAAAACTAGCCATTGTTTTAAAGATAAAATCTGGCTTTTTAAGTGTCACAATAGCAGAAGTGTTGCCATCCATATTTCACAGTGTCTATAATACATCAGGTTGCTAGCTGCCAAACAAATTTAATTTACCCAGTTCTCAGTTTGCATTAACCTTTGAATAATAAAGCACAGCTGAGACTGCTGTAAGAAACAAACCAGAGAATGAATAATTAAAAACACCTCCACTGCCTTTAGAAAGACCAATCCCGAGTCAACAGGGAAGGTTTAATTGTGACTGAACTAGGCATTAAGGGGCTAATTGAACTCTTTATAAGCCCAAACGAATGTGGGACTACATCAGTGTTATGGTATACAAGGTCCACAGAAAGTAAAACCCTTAAAAAAAATAATCAGGCAATTAGTTCAAATAGAAAAGGCAAGAAGCAGGGGCAGTCTAAATCCTACATGAAAAAAAGCCCGTAATATGTGAAGGAAATCCTTTTCCATTTTCTGCAGAAAAATGTTCTTAATGCTTAGAGAAACAATGACTCAGTTGATGCCAGCAGGTTAAAATGGAAGTGATATAAATGTGGGTCCCAGAGAAGTGGTTGGAATCAGCAAGGGACAAAAGCAAGCCCTGTCTTTGTTAGACCTCATTTAGCCAGGAGGGGGATGGGTGGGCCCTTTCTGGGTTTGAGCGAGACTCACTTTTTTTGATCAGAACTCTCTCCGATAGTGGCATTTTCATAATGTATATTATTTTTATTTGTTTTGACTATTTATTTAATTGTGTTAACATTTGAAATGAGCAGTCATTAATTAGAATAGTTGGAAAATGCTCCATCTGCCAGTTGAACCGTTTCGGCACGTCCAGCTACAAGCCCAGCCTGATCACATTCTGAGGATGCTGATTACCATTAATTGAAGGTTTTCTTTGCAAATGAGAGATGAAGCTTTATTAAGTATTATTATTAATTCGAAGAATAGCTTGAATTGTATGGAGTGTGGGAAGACTGCTGTTATCGGCGTTGCCGGTTGGAGTGCTTGCTGGCAGCAAGGCTGTTCAACTCGTGAAAATACCCAAAATACCCATCCACGTGCACGGGCGACAGCTGGTGTTAAGGGCAACAGCGTGCACCAGCATAACGTTTTTTTTTTTCACTTGCACATTAATAATACAAAAAGTTTGACAGGTGTGTTATCTTTGTTTTCCTTCCTTCCTAATTGTTAAGCCTTTATTTATCCACACTATTGGCAACCAGAACGAAGCCTCATCAGGCTTCACCAGAGAAAATTCCCATATGTGCATGGCCTCAGCCAGAGCCTTATTCTATAAGGTTTATAATGCAAAAGGATTTAATTGCCCTTCTCTCTACATGGATATCTGCCCAGCACACTGAAGCCCAAATGTTTTACATTCAGTATGATTTATATTCCAGCTCTATTAATGTTACTGGCAACCAAACCACAGATCTCAAAGAAAGCAAACCAAACCTCTCCGTGCCTGAAGCTGTGTTTTCTTTGGAAGGACGGACTCAGATGTGCACCCGCTCGGCAAAGGGCAGCCTGGATCTGCCCAGAACTCACCTGTGTGCCACTAACCTACTGCTAAATCCGTCAGCTTTATGGGAGAAACAATGACGGCTGCTGCGGCGGCTCCGGCTGGAAGTGGCTGAGCTCTGAGGATCAGGTGGTTAGGAGAAGGACAGGTCTGCTGTCAGACCAGCAGTGCAGCCTCCCAGTTTGAACCCCGATGCTGAAACCCTCACAAACCCGCAGGCTGAGGCCATTGAGGAGCCCGGTGAGAAGCACACGGTGTGATCCCACAGCCAGCACTCCCAAATCTCCAGCATTCTCTCCCAGGTGGAACTCGTAACATAGGACCAAGGAGGTGCAGCTGAGCATAAAGGCCCTGGAGACCTGATGTTACCAATGGCTCCTTAAGAGCCAGCTCCCTGCTGTCATTGCCCCCCTATAGCCAATGAGACACTGCACAGAATAGTCTCCAGTTTACCCGCTGGGGAGGCTTTGCTGGCTGGAAGAGCTGGGCTGGGTGGACAAGGAGCCAGCCTTCTTCCTCTTCCAGAATGACATCAGGATGGGTGTATGAAATTCAGGCCAAAGGACTAAACATCTAACATGGTCTCCTTTGTATTGCACTCTCCTTTGCCTCTGCCTATACCCTTCACTTCTGCCACCGCTTCCCACACGCACATTTGCAGGTGAAATGTATGCACATCAGTTACACTTAGCAGTAAAAATACTTTAAATGCTACTATAACTGAATTCATTTTGCTTTAAACATGCTTAATGCACTGAGCCTTTTTTATTCCCTCACGGTGTTTTAGGCAGACAGCCTCTTGAAAGCAGCGCTGCTAAAAACTGCTTGTCCAGTACAATGCATTATAAACACTAAGCTTTCCCTGTAGTTAGAATATGCTAAAATACTAAATTTAAAATGATGTATTAGGAGAGCTGTGTGAAAACAACAGCATCTATGAGACATACCAGACAAAAAGCCGCCTGGAGAAGTTAGGAAAGTACAGTTGATTTTAAGTTTTATCAGAGCTGTGATTTGTTTACAAATTTACTCAATTTCCAGAGAGTAACTCAAAAAACTGAAATTACAGAAGGTCAAAAAAGTAATGGTATCTCCCTCCTTTATCAAGTAGTCACATGGAATAAATTAGTCAAAATAATGTTATTGTTTTCTAATCTAACTTGAGGATTGTATTTCTTGAGGAGGGATCACACGCTTCCCCCGTGCCTGTATCTGGAGGTTACATAACCTCATAGCGTGCTTCTGGTGATGTGGAAAACAAGAACCAGTTCAACGTCTTCCCTTCCATTCTTGGTCTCTGAATCTTGCTGGTATCCACTTTTAAAGTGTAACTGCACTCTTTAACACAAGGGAAAGGCAAGACTGTAGCACAAAACAAAGAAGGAAGAAAAGGAATTGCAACTTAAATTGCCTTCTAGTTCCGACACGCTAATGGTAGCTCTGAGGATCAGGTGGTTAGGAGAAGGACAGGTCTGCTGTCAGACCAGCAGTGCAGCCTCCCAGTTTGAACCCCGATGCTGAAACCCTCACAAACCCGCAGGCTGAGGCCATTGAGGAGCCCGGTGAGAAGCACACGGTGTGATCCCACAGCCAGCACTCCCAAATCTCCAGCATTCTCTCCCAGGTGGAACTCGTAACATAGGACCAAGGAGGTGCAGCTGAGCATAAAGGCCCTGGAGACCTGATGTTACCAATGGCTCCTTAAGAGCCAGCTCCCTGCTGTCATTGCCCCCCTATAGCCAATGAGACACTGCACAGAATAGTCTCCAGTTTACCCGCTGGGGAGGCTTTGCTGGCTGGAAGAGCTGGGCTGGGTGGACAAGGAGCCAGCCTTCTTCCTCTTCCAGAATGACATCAGGATGGGTGTATGAAATTCAGGCCAAAGGACTAAACATCTAACATGGTCTCCTTTGTATTGCACTCTCCTTTGCCTCTGCCTATACCCTTCACTTCTGCCACCGCTTCCCACACGCACATTTGCAGGTGAAATGTATGCACATCAGTTACACTTAGCAGTAAAAATACTTTAAA